GCCGCCCCCGTGCCCATCTGCAGACGCCACCCGGCCTGGGACTCCAGGCCCCCAGCACAGAGGAGCCTCTGTCCTCAGGCCCACTCACAGCCACTGCACCATCCGAGGTCAGCGAGACCTTTCCCAGCTGCCTGCCGGCTGGACCGGGCACCCGTGGGACCCTGCAGCGAGTGATGGGTCAGCCGGATGCCAGGGCCGGAGAAGAAAGGAGAGCTGTTGTGCCCCTTCCCTCCACCCCCCACATTCCCTGCGGCCCCAGGAGGGAAGGGAGGGCAGCGGGCACTGCCCACTCGTCCCTGGCAGCCTGGCTCGTCCCCAGCCCTGGGCACTGGAACAGTCAGACCCAAAGGCCTCCTGGGGGGTTGCTGGCCTCAGGATACTCTGCCTCTCTGGGCTGCAGCCCCAGCAGCTGAGCAAAAGCTTGGAAGACTCAGAGCGAGACCTCCTGGGCCATAGGTAGCCCTGGAGCCACAGTCAGCTTCATTGTAGGGAATCCCGATAGCCATGGAGTCAGGGGTCCACATCCTCTCCCCTGTCAGGGACCCCAGAGGGGGAAGGGCCCTCATTTCATGAGTGCTGGGCAGGCCAGGCACGCGCTGACCCACATCTTACATGGAGTCAGTGCAGGCTCCGCTCCCGGGACCCTGGCGCTAGGAACTAAGGCCCCCAGCCCATGATGGGACTGTGATGTCCCCACCAAGGCTCCCATGGGGGAGGGGGAGGGAGGGCCCTTGCGAGGCCTCTACCTTTCAGCTCTCAAAGCTGAAAATCTCCCTTGGCTAGCTGGGAGACCTGGACGTGCGGGGTGAGCTCCGACCGGCTACGCAGGTGAAGCCTGGGCTGCGCCGCCCGGCCTCCTCCCCCCAGCCTGCTGGACGGTGCTCAGGGAGGCCAGGCACAGACACACCCCTGCACACGGGAGAGGGCGAGCAGATGCACTCCATCCCCCACCCCGTGGAGTGTGCTTTCCAGCAGGCAGAGAAGAAGACAGAAACAAGTCGGCAAAGCAGGAGGCTCATCGGGGGCAGAGGAGCCCTGAAGAAAGACAAGACAGGACAGGGTCGGTCATCTTCCTGGGCCACCGCAACAAATGACCACGAACCGGGGGCTTAAAATAACAGAAATGCATCCTCTCCCAGTTCTAGAGGCCGGACCTCTGGGATCAAAGTGTGGGCAGGGCCCTGCTCTCTCTAAGGCTCTAGGACGGGATTCTACCTGCCTCTTCCAACTTCTGGCGGCTGCCGGCAACCCCTGCGTCCTGCGCCTGCAGACGCATCACTCCGACCTGTCTCCATCAACACCTGACCCTCTCCCTTCTAACTGTACGTCCAGATCTCCCTCTTTTTATTGGATTTAAGGCCATTGGATTTAGGGCCTGGCCTAATCTGGTATGCTCTTGTCTAAATTACATCTGCAAAGACCTTATTTCCCAATAAGGGTACCTCACAGCACCATTCAGCTCTCAGCAAGGGCCACAGCTAGCCTGGAGGCCCAAGGCAGGGAAGGAGGGACCTGGGCGCCGTCCCAAAGGGCCATCTGCTCTGGGCTGACCCGGCCCCCATGCCCTTGGTCCCAGCCACAGGGTGGGAGAGTTCCACAGATTCGCCCCTGCTGGCAGGTGAGTGAGAGGAGCAGGGCCGTGCAGCCAGCCCTGCCTCCCTCTCCCCACGCAGGTGGCTTCAGTCTCTCGAGCTGCTTCCTTGCAGCCGCCAGCCCTGAGCATGGACTGCGAGTTATTTCACAGGTCATCATCAAATCTCCACTTCACAGCTGAGCGTACAGAGCCCAAGACAGGCCAAGCCACATGCTCCGGGTCACCTGTCCCCAACCACACGCTGAGCCAGCGGGAGATGGAGAGATAGCCCCCAAAGCCTCCCAGTTTGGAGGCAGAGCCAGACTCAGGGTGCTGGAGGGGTGGGTGGGGATTAACCCCGCAGTGACCAAGCCAGGTTCTGAAAGAAGGTTGCATAGGAAGGCGTCGAGTGGGTGTCGGGAGCCCACGGGGCCTGGGTCTCTCCACCAGCCAAGACCCTCCCGAACTCCCCCAGCCGCTCCCACCTGCTTTCTGGGCCTTGTGGGTGTAGTACCCACTATGGCCCCTGGAGGGCAGCAGGTGCCCACATTTCCCGGGAGCAGCCTGGAAGCACTGTCCACCCAGGTGGCTGCAGGGCCCAGGACTCTGCCCACAGGGGTCAGCCGTGAGCCCTCACCCACCCAACACACACACAGATGGGACTGATGGCCCTGGTGGGCACTTCCTGTGGTCAGCCTGGGCCCTGCCACCTGGCAGACTGTTGGGCGCCATCCCTCTCACAGGCAGCCAGGCCCCGGCTGAAGGGCAGACTTTCGGGGGTGGGGGCACTGATGTCGGGCAGGGACCGGGAAGGCCACAGGTGAGCTCGACAGGCCTGCCCTTCAAACCACGACACCCAAGAAAATGCCCAGCCAGGCCCCCAAGCCTGCGGCGCCCCCTTGCCCTGCAGAGAGCAGCAAGCTCACAGGGCCGTCAGCCCTGGGAAGGCGGCACCAGGAGACGGCGGGCGTGCACCCCAGGCTAGACTGTGCCCTGCCAGCTGGCATGTCCCTGCACCCTGCCCCCCGTGCCAACACCTGGGGTCAGCAAAGGGACTTTGCAGGCTGGAAGCTCACCCAAATGCACAACCCAGCGTGGGGCTCAAATGGAATGACACTGGGTGGCACATCTGCCCATGGGCCTTTCCTGGAAAAGGGACCTGAAGGCAGGTGGGAAGGGGCTGACACCCAGCACCTCCAGGGCTGAGTCCTGGGATCTCAGGTCACATCAGTGCGTCACCGGGCCCTTGCTGAGCACCTGCTGTATACAGGGCCCTGGGCTCTGTGCCATGGGATGAGCATACAAGAGCTGTGGCAGGAAGGGGCTGCATTAACAGAGGAGTAGAATCCAGAAGGGAGGAGGCGAGCGTCCCCCGCATTTGAAGGGGGATTCTCGCACATTGTGAAGCATCTTGGGGGAACATGCCAGGATGACAAATGATTTGGATTCCGTGTCATATCAAGAATGACTGGACTTCCCTGGTGGCACAGTGGTTAAGAACCCTCCTGCCAATGCAGGGGACAGGGGTTCGAGCCCTGGCCCGGGGAGATCCCACATGCCGCGGAGCAACTAAGCCCGTGCGCCACAACTACTGAGCCTGCACCCTAGAGCCCGCAAGCCACAACTACTGAGCCCGTGTGCCACAACTACTGAAGCCACGCACCTAGAGCCTGTGCTCCGCAGCAAGAGAAGCCACTGCATGAGAAGCACGCACAGTGCAATGAAGAATAGCCCCCGCTTGCTGCAACTAGAGAAAGCCTGCGCTCAGCAACGAGGACCCAACACAGCCAAAAATAAATAAATAAAATAAATTTTAAAAAGAATGACTAAAGAACATGATAACCAGGGACAATGTAATAATTGGTCTTGATAGGTAGTGAGCTCCCCGTCCTGGAAGTATTCAAGCAGAAGCACGATATCAGCTTCCTTGGTCTGGGTTGTGGGGCAGGGTATCTGTCTTGGCCCCTCCACCCTCCACTCTCCTCAACTACCAGAGGGGTCTTTCCACGAGATCTGATCACTGTGTCTTTGCTGGAACCCCGAGTGGCTGTCATTTTACATTTGTCTGTCTTTCCCCACAGTGAGCTCCATGAGGACAGAGATCATGGCACTTTTGCTCAAGGCTGTATCTCTGATGCCCTGCGCAGTAGTCAGCATACAGTAGCTGCTCAATAAATACCTAAGAGTAAAGTAGGAGGAAAGCAAGAAGGAGGAGGAGGCTTGCTGGAGATGAACCTTGGGCTGGCCCCAGATGAAGGCATCAACATCAGCCAGCTTCCAGCAGGTTGTGCTGCTATAACAAACACGCCCCCCGTGTCAGGAGCTTCCAACAGTGGCAGTGGCTCTGCTCCACTCGGCTCCTCATTCTGGGGCTGGAGACCCTCTCCTGGCAGAAGCAAAGGCCCGGGGGACCCAGCAGGCACAGGCAATGGCTCTAAAAGTTTCTGCTCCAGGTTCCTGGGCCAAAGCTCATCCCCTGGCCCCGTGGGGCAGGAAGGATGCTCCTCGCACAGGGAGGTGGTGCTGCAGGTCTCCTGGGTTGGGCTGCCTTCTCCCCCTGCAGAGAAGGGAATGCTGGGAAGTTGCGGGCTGCACAGGCAGAGTGTGGGCAATGGGGTGGGCCTCACGGGGAAGTTGAGGCCTCTGCCCTTGATGGAGGAAGTAACGGGCAGTCCCTGAGTGTGCTGAGAGCCGGCTCCACTGTTGCCACCCTGGGCTGGTCTGAGCTGGGATTTGGGGTGGTGGGTGACATAGGGCAGGTGGCATGGCAGGGGGGCTCCCTGCCTGGCTGACTGGCAGGTCAGCCCAAGCTCAGAGTGGAAACCCGCCTGTCCCCGCCCACAGCATCTCCTGCAGCGCCAGGAAGGCTGATTCCGGAAACCCCAGCTGGGGGGCTGTTGCAGCCTCTGCCCAGGGGACCCACCCTAAACAAGGCCTGGGAAGGGCAGGCTTGGAGTCCAGACTCAATTTTGTGCCGGCTGGCAAGCACCTTACTTTCCAGGCCTCAGGAGCCTCATCTGTAAAATGGGGTTGATGGAAACAAAGCAAACACCTTGAAGGCAGCCAGAGTTCCCCAGAGCTCCTGGGCTGCCCTCCGGCCGCCATTCTGCAAAGGTGGGGCCATTTCTGGAGCAGTGGAGGCCTTGCAAACCTCCGATTCCCCGCTGGGCTGGTCGGCTTCTTGGAGGGCTTCCTGGAGGAGGGGGCAGCAGAGCCGGGCCCGTAAGGAGAAATGCAGAGTCGCAGAGGGGTGAAGCCGGGTAGCCCTGGCGTCACCCTGGCAGGCGACGCCAGGCCCGAGGCGGTGGGCGTGGAGGGCGAAGGGCGGAGGGCGGTCCCAGAAGGGCGACTCCAATCGGGACTCGGAGGCCGAGGCAGCTCGGCTGCAGGTCACGTGGGCGCCGGCTGGCCAGGTGGGGACAGTGACGCAGGCTGCGCAGCCAGGTACCTGGGGCGCGCCCCGCCGGCCCCTCCCGCCCGGCACTCGGAGCAGGAGCCGCCTGGCGCGCGCCCTGCCCACCTGGCCGCCCACCTGGTGGGGCCGGAGCGCTGCCGCCTCCTGCAGGGCCGCACAGGAAGTGGGGGGGCGGGGACAGGGAGGGACCGAGCGGCCGGGACAGAGCTCGGGGCCTGCAGAGCCTGGAGGTGGACCGGCCCCCGTCGGCCGCCGAGCTCGTAGCTCCGTCCTCCGCCCCACGGCGCAGGTAAGCCTGGGGGACAGGTGACGGGGGAACAGGTGAGCCTGGGAGACAGGTGGGCCTGGGAAGGGACGGGTGAGCGAGGTGGTGGGGATGAGCCTTGGGGAGGGGGCTGGCAAGGCCGAGGGCGCACTTCCTCCCCTTTGCTTTTCCCGCAAGCCCTGCGCCGGGGGCCGCGTCACTCTGCGGCTGCCCGCCTCCGCGGTGGCTGCCCAGCGGGGGCTGTGGGAGGGGACAGAGCCTGGCTGGACCTAGAGCCCCTGACCTCTGACCCCCCCACCCCGCTCCCCTGGGCTTCGGGCGTCCCAGCTCCCTGCTCCTCCCCTCCTTTGAGCCCTAGGGGACACTCCCTCGCCCTGGACGGGACTCGCAGCCAGAGCTCCCACTGGGGCATCAGGGCTGAGATACCCTAGGGAGCCCCAGGACCTTTGAAAAGGCGGGGCAGGGTGCGCACGGAACGACCCTCCCAGCAACCCGGGAGAATCTGCTGCCCAAACCTGCTTTGGCACCAGGAGTAGCAGCCCCAAGAATGAGGACCCCCTCCCCACATCAAACTGGGAACAAACTCCTCCCCCACTCTGGTAGGCAGACTCGGCGGCAGGGAGGGGTCCTGGCGTGCATCCCATCCCGCTAAGAAGGAGGGGGAAGGGAGGAGGGCGGGGCTCGGCTCCCAAAGCTGTGGGTCCCGCTTACTGCCAGGACACCTGGCTTAGCTGCCCACCCTCCGTTTCTGCATCCGGGAAGCAAGGATCTTTTTGAGATTTGTGTGGACCTCAGCCCAGCAGCGGGCACGCGGTGGGCGGGCGGCCGGGAGCTCTGCATCTGACCTGGAGGTGAACAGTCTGCACCTCCTGGTGGCGGCTCAGTGGGCGCTTGTCAGGCCAACCAGTCTGCCCTGCACCCCTGCTGCCTAGTGCTTAAGGGTGGGGACCCCAGGTCCAAATCCCGGCTCTGTGTAACCTGTTACTTAAGCCCCCTGGGCCTCAGTTTCCTGCTCCGTGAAATGGGAGCAGTTAGAGGGTGCTGACTCAGCTGCAGCTGGATCCTCTTCTGGTTACCACCCTGCAGATGCCCATGGGCCGCAGAAGCCAGCATCACATCACGGGCACTGCCCAGGGCTTTCCCAAGCTCTCCTGGCAGGGGGGAGTGAGCTGGCGGAGGCCGCTCCCCCTCCTACCTGGGCACCTGCAGGGGAGGAATCTGTGCAGGGCAGGGGCACCTCTGTTCCACAAGGGCTCTGGTTCCCCAGGGGCTCGGGACAGGGGGTGTCTCTCACCCTACACGGGAGACGCTCTTCACCCACACGAGAGGAAACCAGGTGCAGAGTGAGGTGGCGTGACCCGATGGGCACGGCCACTCCCCGCGGCTGGGTCCTGGAATTCTAGTTTCAGTTTCTGAATGGATCTCAGCTGCCCCTCTCTTTCGCCTGTGGCCGTTGTCGCTCTCGGGCGACCGGCCGCCTGTACCAGCATCTTTATTTCTAGTGAGAGTCGCCACTCACCCAGCTGGCCCACTGGGGCAGTGATCTGGGTCAGGACAGCACCTGGCTCCTTGCCCAGCTCTCCGCTGACCGGCAGCCTGACCTCAGCGGGTCACATTCCCTCTGCTCCTGGTTTCCTCACCTAGCAGAGCAGGGAAATGCCTGCCGTCCAGAAGATCCCTGAGGGGCTAGACACACAAGGAGAGAAGGTGTTTATAGGACACCCGTGGGTTACCTGTCCAGGTTACCTGGCGGATTCAGGGCTCTGATTTCTTATCCGGAGCTCCTCTGGGGAAACACTGTGTGTGCCAGCCAAGCCTGGCACGGGGGCTGGGTTTATGGGGCGGCTGGATTCAGAGCCGGGAGTGGGAGCCACGGGTGGGCCTGTCTGGGTGGGCACTGCGGGCTGAGCCTGCCGGTGCCCGGAGGCATCATAGGAAGGAGACAGCAGGAGGCTTTTGCTCGGGGTGGGAGGAGCACGAGGCCTGCCGCTGCCCCTCCCACTGCCAGGCTGTGTCCGGGACTGAGGACGGCCAGGCGGGTCTTCCCAACCTCTAGGGAGGCTGGTGACTCTCCAGTTAGCTGGACCGAGGCTTCTCTACCTCAGCACTGCAGGCATTTGTTCCGGATGATTCCTTGTCGTGGGTGGTCCTGGGCCCTGTAGGGTATTGAGCAGTGTCCCTGGGCTCTGCCCACAAGAGGCTGGTAGCTCAGCCCCAGCTGTGACCGCCAAGAATGTCTCCGGGCTCGGCAAAGTGTCCCCCGGGGGGCCAAGCCGCTCCGGTCGAGAGCCCCCAGCTGCCCCTGGCCACCCTGCAGGCAGAAGTGTCTGCTACGCGCTGCACGGTTTACGAAGCCAAATCCTGCCCCACGTTCCATGTGACTCCAGTCTGGAACCTGGCCGGGCAGAATTACCCGAACACAAGGCCATCATCGTGGGTCAAGTTTGTCTGAGCAAAGATGGGGTCGTGTGCACGGTGCCAGGGAGACCGAGCCCCGCCAGGCAGGGGCCCGTCAGCTGGACCTAGAGGGACAGACGTCCCACGGATGGAGGTGTTGTGGTGACGTCACCCAAGGGGTGGCAGGTCCCATACTCAGTGCGGTTTGGGTCCTGGTGGCTGTGAGAGCTGCTGCGACCAGAGCCCCAGGCCCAGGCCAGGAGGGCTGTGTTCTTCAGGGCAGCAGGAGGGACGGTGCAGAGCCTGCCGGGGTCCTGGGAAGCCCATCTGTCAGGAAAAACGAGGGCTCCAGGGGTGCTGGGCTGCAAGGGGCCCTCTGGGCCAGGCCAGCGTGAAATGCAGAGCCAGGGCAGGGCCAAGTGCAACGTCGGGTCACCTGAGGTTGCCAGAGACCTCCCCCACCTCCACCTGTGGACTCCCAGCCCCCGCTCCTCCCACCCAAGCCCCGCCTGTCCCTTACCCACCCCTGCACATGTGCTGGGGACACCAGGAAGGGCTGCTTAGTGGCAAAGGGAGAAGCTGTGGTTCCCAGGGCTCAGCCGTAAGGGGCCCTCCCCAGCCCACCCTGAGCAGAAACAGCAGGGCGTCACCCAGGAGGGGGCACAGATGGGTCTAGAAGCTCCTGTGGAGCTGCCCTGGTGGATTCGGCACACCTGGAGCAAAGTACCAAGTGGGCTATAGTTCTCCACATGGAACACCCAGGCCTCTTCAGGAAGACACGGTTCCAGGGAGAGCAGAGCCAGGCAGGTGCCCACGATATCAGCGTTCACACATCAGTTTGCGAATTGAGCCCGACTGTTTGTGGGGACGTAGACAGGAAATCATCCCTGCTCCTGAAGGACACACAGGCTCGTCAGGGAGACAGAGGGACATACGGACAGCACGCGGCCCTTGCTGCCGTGGGCATCGGTGGGGGAGCTTTCCAGGGCTGCCTTTGCTGGAGAGCAGACCTGCCTCTGTGGCTCGAGTGGTCACTGCCGGGTGTCTGGTCTCTCTCTCTCTCAGTGGCATTGCTGCCCACAGAACATGGCCGCCATTGCGACTGTGCTCTTGGCCCTCCCCTGCACTGGCTGCAGGACACCAGGCAAGGGCCAGCGTCCGGTGAGGCTGCGGGAAGAGATGCTCTTAGAGCCAGGTGGCTGGAGGAGAAGCCTCCAGACATGGACCCTGTGGGGAGTCCCAAAGAGCCTGCCAGGCAGAAGCATGTGCTCACGTGTGTGCGCTCACGTGTGTGCTCACGTGTGTGTGCTCACGGGGCACACGGGTCTCCCACCAGAACACGCCTGTCTCCTAAATGGGAGCCGACAGCTGACTGGGACATTGAAAGAGGGTGCGGCATCCGCGAAACAAGAACAGGCTGCTCTGCATAAAGAGCAAGAGAGAGCTCTTCGTGGGACCAGGAAAACAACAATCGTTTGGTGGAAAGGTGGGAATCTCCCACAAAGGGGAACAAGAGATGAAGGAGAAGGCGAGAAGAGGTCGGAAGTGAGGGGTTCTCACTAAAGGCTGTTCCAGAAAGAGACCAGAGCAAACGGAGGTGGGAGAATTTATCAAAGAAATAGCACTGGAAAACACGCGGACCTAAAACAGGTGGGAAGGACGCACAAGCCTGTGGCTCAGGGAGTGAACGTGGATCCGTCGCCGTGCCTGTCCCCATAGGTGGTAAAGCGGAGCAGGGGGGAAAGAGCCTCCTGTCGTGACCAAGGAGGTGAAGTCAGACGGGCAGTGTCTCGTTGGCAGTGAAAGCAGGAAGGCAAGGGAAGAAGGCTTCTCCATTCTGGAAGAAAATAATCTCCAGTGGAACTCTAAAGGCATAAAGAAGACATTTTCAGAGGTCTCCCTCCCTTGATGCTGCCTTGGGAAGGTGCCAGGGGCTGGGCCCCAGCTCAGTGGTGGGGGAGGAAGGAAAGGGAGGGCCAGGATGCCAGGTGGGGGTCAGGGGGCTGAGCTCCTGCCCTGAGAGCCGGGAAGGGAGGGCCTGGGGAGAGAGGACTGATGCTTGGACCCTCTGGAGCACACGATCCAGATGCCCAGGGCGGGGACGCTGGAATGCACGGGGGAAAATTAACCGGAGGAAAGCCAGCCAGTAAACAAGAGAATTATTAACCGGCCAGGCTAACACAAACACCCACGGGGCATGGCAGAGTGGGGGGGGGGGGGGGGGCGGAGCCTCGTTCACACAGCCAGGGGAGGGTGAGTGATGCCCCAGGCTAGGAGATCTCAAAAGAGCAAGTGGGCTTGTTTAGCAATTGGGGGAACGCTGCAAAGCCAGGAGTGGTGGTTTGTGGGGGACAGGGTGGTGCGGAGGAGGGGACGCCTATCTTGGATGATAAGTCTCTCCTCTCGGTGCTGTTTGACCTTTGAACCTATGCCCAGGTAGCTCTGTGATCAGCTAAGCAGTGGGAGGAAGAAGACAGGGGTCCTGCGACAGCTGCAGCCCCAGGAGTCGGCTCCAGCCGGGCCCGGGTCCTGGAGCTCATGCAAGAGCAGGGCAGTGGCCCACGCCCCTGGCACAGTGCCCCTCCCCTTCAGGCCTGGGTCCCGGGCTGGTGGCGCCCCAGGCCTGTGGGTGCGGCTGCCTTGTTTGGAACCGAGATCACACCCAGCAAGGGCTGGCCTGACAGGCTCCGTCTGGCACCTTCCGGCTCCGGAAGAGCCTTTGCCCTCTTCCGGGAGAGGACGTGTGCCACTGGCTGGGTCTGGGGCCTGGGCTCAGAGGAGGGGACTCAGGCCTGGGGCCTGAGGCGGGAAGGAGGGAGAGGAAGGAGGAAGAATGAGGGGATGGGGCGGGCAGGGGTCACGGGCACCACAGTCTCCGTGTTATACAATGTAAACCACCCCCATGGGAAATACACGGTGGCTAGATAAAAGGACTCAGGAGCTGGACGTCTCCTGGATGCCCACTGGGGTGCATTTGCTTGGCCTGCATAGATGGAAACCTGTAAGAAACCCATTTCTCGGCCAGGCCTGGGTACAGTGCAGCCAAGTTAACACAGGGAGGGCGACCCAGGAAGGTGCAGACCCACCCACGGCTGCCAGCGCCCAGGGAGGCCTGGGGACTCAGAATGTCCCCAGGAATGCGTGGGCCGTCCTCCTGCTGTGGGCGTGGCCAGGGCTCCAGCGGCAGCCCCTCCCTGCAGCCCGGGAGGCTGAGCTGCTCACACCTTCCTGGGATGCTTTTAGCCAGAGAATCTGGGAGCTGGGGCAGCAGAGCAGGGCGGAGGGCCAGGCTTCTGGGGGCCCCTGAGTTGTTCCCACTGTGCCATGATTTAGGCCACCCCATGTGGCCAGACCTTCCCAGCCTCCTGTCAGAGGGATTCCTGGGCTGAAGCTCAGAACCTCCAGGGGGAAGCACCCGGACCCAAGGTGTGTGTGTGAGGTGTGCTCGGGCTGGAACCCGCTGGGTAGGTCCAGGGACAGACAGTGGGTCCCTGGTGGCGCCCACCATCCCAGGCCTGGCCCCCTCCAGCTGCGTGCACCCAGGTGGGAGAGAGCAGGGCGTGCCCTCCCCCCCCACAGAGCTGCTGGATAAACTCCTGGGTCAGCGGTCCTCCCCAGGTCCGCAGGGGAAGTGGCACGGGATGCCGTGGTGTAGCTCTGAGCTGAGGTCCCCTCCCAGCGGGGCCACCTGGGCGGGTGACTTAGAATCTTAGTTCTCCATCTGAAAAAGGCTTCCACCCTTACCCGGCCCTTGTAATTTTAACGTTCAGAAGTTCTGCATTTATAAGAAGCATATGAGTGGTGGCTATCCTTGTTCTTATTAAAAGTAAATGGGAAGGAACGAAAGGAGTGAGTTCTCTCCATGTTACGTTTGCGTCGTATGAAGTTCTAAACCTTCAGCCGCTCCCCTTGAGGCTCACAGATAACCTTCTATTCGGCACCGGTGACACCAGAGCCCCTCGGCGGCCAGGTCCCTGTTTAAGCACTACATGGATGAGCTCCCCACCTTTCCCAGCATCCTCAGGAAGCTGGGTACTTGTTATTGTACCCATTTTACATATTTGTAAAGTGAGGCCCAGGGTGTAGCAGCTCAGCTCCTGGCTGCGAAGCCAGCCTTTGAGCACCGCATCCTGGCAGCCATACCTCGGGCTCCGGCTGCAGCAGGGCTGCCCTCACCTCTGTCCTTTCCCCCAGGTCCCCGCGGCCACTCAGCATGTCCCAGCAGCACTCGGACAGCTCCTTGGAGGAGAAGCTCCTGGAACACCGCTTCCACTCGGAGCTGCAACTCGACACCGAGGGAAACCCAGCGTCCCGGCTCCCGATGGTCCGGGGCCCCCTGCAAAGCAGGAGCAATGCCGCCTTCCAGCCCGACACCCCGGTGCCCCCGTCGCCGTCCCCTGAGGCCCAGGAGCCCAGGACCATCGTCCTGAGCACGCAGAGCCCGGCAGCCCTCAAGATGGGCACTCAGCAGCTGATCCCCCGGAGCCTGGCTGTGTCCAGCAAGGCTAAGACCCCGGCCCGCCATCAGAGCTTTGGGGCGGCCATGCTCAGCAAAGAGGCTGCCCGGCGGGACCCCCGGCTCCTCCCGGCCCCCAGCTTCTCCCTGGACGACATGGACGTGGACACGGGTCCTGGGGGGATGCTGAGACGAAATCTGAGGAACCAATCCTACCGGGCGGCCATGAAGGGGCTGGGGACCCCCAGCGGTGAGGGCGGCCCCGTCCAGCTCAGCCCCAAGATCCCGGCCCTGGCCGAGGAGCCCAGTCAGCCTCCTGCTCGGTCCACGGCCAGAAATAAGGTAGGGGGCTCGTCTGCCTGGGCAACGGGGCGGGGGCCGTGCCTCAAGGGGCCTCGGGAGCTCGTGGGCAGGGAAGGGGCCCGAACACACCTTCACGTCATCACGCCGCCGCGCACGTTGTGCAGGCTCCTGGGAGGGTTTATTCCAGTTAAGCTCTACAGCCGGGCCGTGAGCAGAGTGTGAATGTCCCCATTTTATAGATGAGGCAGCTGAGGCTCAGGAAGACCGAAGGTGTTAGCCAGGACCCCGGCTCTCAGCCACAGCGGGGAGCGGAGCCCGGGGAGGAACCAGCCCTTCTCTCCAAGTCTCTCTGAGCACGGAGGGGGAGCCAGCCCATCTGAAGGACAGATTTCAGTCATGGCTTTGCAGCATGGACTGGCCTGGAATCTGTCTGCCCGAGGGGCGCCCGTCGGGGACTCAGGAGGGCTTGTGGCAGCTCAGAAGTCGGATGCTGCCCTGCACGCTCTCCCTCCCTGCCCTGCCTGACCGCCGGCTCAGGGCTGTCTGTGCCCACAGGCGCCGTCCCGGTGGCCTCCTCCACCACGGGCTTCTGCCCAGACCATGAGCCCTGGCCCTGATCTGGGGAGAAGCCCAGACCACCTGTCAGAATGCTGGTGACCCAGCGTGCAGAGGGGCAGGGCAGGGAGGACCGCTGTCCTTGGGCTAGAGACACCCCTGGCCTGCGAGGCAGGGCACAGCCTGGACCCCGGCACCTCCACACCCACCCAGGGCCAGGCCTGCAGGGCCATTGTTCATTCATGCTTGGTTCATGCGGCCAGCCAACATTTCCTGAGGCCTCACGCACCCAGTGAGCAGAGGCCCCAGGAGAGCTCCCAGGGTGGTGGGGCCCCGTGGGCTGGGCTGGGGGTGCTCAGGGTGCTGAGAGAGCACAGAGGTGGGGCTCCCCAGGAGCTCAGGGCCGGGGGGGGGTCAGGAGTCCCGGAAAAGAGAGGATTAAAGTAGAGGTGTGGACACAGGATGGGAGCCAGGTGGAGCACGGGCTGCGGAGACAGGGGGTGCCCGGGCCTGGAGGTGGAAGGGGTGGGGGCGCTGGGGGGTGCCGGGCGGGCAGCAGGGAGAGCCGGGTGCACCTGGGAGCACCACACATTCCAGACGAGCACGGGGAGTTTCAGGCTCCAACTTATTTCGAGAAGCCAGCTCCCGCTTTCCTGGAACCCGTGCACCTGGGGGTCAGGGGAAACGGTGTCCCGGCCAAGGAAGCGGGCTCTTAGTGGCAACTGGAAGGACCAGGGTATGGGGCCCTGAGAGCCCTGCCCGCCCCCAATTCCCATGGGGCAGCTGCTGGGGCCCCGGGCCTGTGCTGGAGCTGGACGCCAACCTGCCAGGCTCTGCTCTTCCTGCCACCCCAGGTCCCGGGGTCGTGGGGCCCCCGTGCGGCCCTGGCTCCCACCCCAGTGTCCCTTCTAGCCCATCTCCCAGCCACACCTGTGCTGCCTCGGCTTCCCTCCAGGCCCACCTTCCCGAGCATCTCCTCTCGGCAGTCCTCCTGGGCCTGCCCAGCCCTTGGTCACCTGCCCTGCCTGCTCTGAGCCCCATCCCACCCCGTCCTACCTGCCCTGGCCTCTGCCTCCTTGTGGAGCCGACATTTATTAAGCGCCTTCTCCATGCCCAGCAGAGGCCCCTCGTGTTGGGCGTGGCGTCACATGTGGAGGGTCTGGTCTCTGGGCCCAGGTGCAGGGACTGCTGCCCGCTGCCCCTCCTCCCTGCTGACTGCCCGTGTCTCTGGGTCTCTCTGCACAGAAGACGCTGGGGCGGAAACGCGCACACAAGGGCTCCTTCAAGGACGGTGAGTGTGGCCAAGGGGCGGCGTCGGGCGGCACTGCGGCCGGGCTGGGCCCTGGGGAGGCGGGTCTCACTCGGGCATCCTGGGGGAGACGGAGAACCACGTGCTGGATGGGTTCCCTCTGGGGACTGGAGGGCCTGGTGGCCCGTCTGACCCTGCGGCTCTGATGGGCCTAGAAAGTTCCCTTGGACTCTGTGCTGTCCCGGGGCGGCGGGCAGACAGAGCCTCCACACTCTCCCTCAGCAGATGTTTGTTAAGCACACTGTGTGCGCCAGGTCCTGCCGGTGGGCCCAGGGCCAGGCAGAGGGCCCTGGGCCTGGGGTGCAGAGACACAGGCCACAGGGACCCAGTGTTAAAGGCTCAGGGGCCGTGGGTGACATCTGGGCTGTGCCTTCAGCCTGCCGAGGGGTGGATGCCAGCAGGACCCCATGGGAGTTGGCGGGTAGGTGCCTGCCCAGCCTGGATGCAGCAGCCAGTGGGTGTAAGGGGCCCCAGCCAGAAAGGGCCCCCTCCCTGCTAGCCCCAACCTCTGTGGACAGCCACAGGTCCGGGCGTGGGGAGGCCTCAGGATTGGGCCTCGTCCCCCAGGACAGCAGCAGTGGCCCCAGGTCTCGGAGCCAGGGTGGGAGGGAGCTGCAAGGAGGGGCTGCCTCAGGGCCGTCCCGAGCCACGCACCCGCCCGGCGGGGCTGCTGAACACGTGGCCACTGCAGAGCCGGAGAGCGGGAAACCTCACCTCGGGCCGGGGGGCTCTCAGGAGGCGGCCTGCAGCGCCCTCGGCCGACCTGGGGACGGCCGCTGCCCAGTCCCCTCCCCAAGGCCGCGCAGTTTGGCCCGTGCCACTCTCTGATGTGTTGGCTCAGCCTTGGTCTGAAGGTGCCACATTCTGCACGGGGATGCCACCCCTGCCCTGGGCTCGGCCGGCTCAGCCGCGGGAGCCAGCCGGCCTGAGGGGAGCCTGCTCTGGGGGGCCCTGTACCACCTGACGCTCTCAGGGCCTCCTCGGGAGGACTCAGCGTGTGGGTTCCTGGGGTGCCAGGACCGCTCAGAGCCCCCAGGCCTGCAGGTGACGCACACCCCCTCTCCCCAGATCCCCGGTTCTACCAGGAGATCCGGGAGCGAGGCCTGAACACCATCCACGAATCCGACGATGACTTACTCGATGAGTCCTCCAGCCCTGAGGAGACCCAAAAGGCGGATGCCCGCATCGTAGTCAAGAGCTACCGGCCCCCCCCAGGTCACCTGGAGTCAGCTCCCAGAGGTGGGGCCGGGCTGGCGGGAAGGCCCTTCTCCCGACCCCCTGGGTGGTCCTCCCGGTGAGGGGAGCGGCCTCCTGGAAACGCCCTGTCTGCGCCCAGCTGGCAGGGAGATCTTCCTGGTGCCTCAGAGCTGCCCTGCCCTGCGGGGCCCCGTGGGGGTGGTCGCTGCGGTGGGGAGAGGGGTTAGGGGCGTGTCATCTGTGTGTGTGTGACGGTCGTCCCACGGGTGAGCCCCTCACCCTCCCTGAGCTCCCTGCTCAGGCTGACCTGTAGGGACCTGGGGGCACAGGGGACCTCCTCCCAGGGGACTGTGCCCAGAAAGTGCCAGGAGGGTCCAAGTGAGGAGGCCAGAGGGGAGGGGAGAGGCCCGGCCGGAGCTGTGCGCCACTGCCAGGTGCCCCCTCACCTTCCACGCCTGAGAATGGGGCTGGTCCCTGCCCCGCAGGGCTGTGGGTTCCCAGTGGAGAGCGCGGCTGGGACAGAGGCGCCGGTGCTCCAAGCAGGTACCCAGGGAGGCAGCTCTCGCTACCCCAGGAGGGCGCAGCTGGCCGTGGGGCAGACAGCCTCCTGACGCCGTCCCCTGGGAGCCGAGGGACGGAGCTGCAGTGCGGGCTGTGGGCGCGGGGGCAGCAGGGAGGGGCGTCTGGCTGTTCCTCTGTCTGCGGTACAACAGGCCTCCTCGTTTGCATCCCGTGGGGCAGGAGAGGGGCCGAGGCACCGTGACCGCCCACCGAGATCCGTGGGGCCGCCGGCCAGGGAGGGCCCAGGACGGGGCGGGGTTAGGGCAGGCAGACGGAAAGTTCCGGAAGTGCACGTGTGTTCCCACCCGCCAGGCGCCAGCTGCGTGCCCGGAGGTGCATGTGCGCGACCTCCCGGGTCGGGTGGGATCCAGGACAGTTTATCCTAGAAACGCTGCCGGAGGTTCTCCTGTCACCTGAGCTCAGGCGTCTCGGCCAAGCCTCTGGGTCCGAGGACGCGTAGGATTTACCTGCCCAGCTCAGGCATTGCTGGCAGCCTCCGCCCAGCCCGCTGGGGAGGGGAGCACGAATCGGGTGGCCCTGGTCCTGCAGAGGGTCGCCCCCGGCAGGCTCTACAGGCACTCGGCGGGCATACCGTGGCCGAGTGAGCCACGCTCCAGCCGGGGCAGCCAGGGGTCAAGGAGCCTGAGGGGTGGAGAGCGGGGCAGTGCGCCATGCTGGAACGGTGTCACCCCTACCTCCGGGCAGGGTGCTTGCTCACCTGGCCCAGGTGTGCCTGAGTCGTGGCCCTGTGCTCAGCACGCCCCTCAGCTTTCCCGGGTGCTTCTCAGTCTCTCCACCACCTCCCAGCCCCCGGCAGCTCTGTGGGACAGAGCCCCCGTCCCATCCCTGGAGAGGCCTTTCCCTCCGGATGCCCATGCCCTTCCTCAGCTGCCCCAGGGCCCCTCTGAGGGGGGAGGTGTCCTTGGAGAAGAGAGACCTGGGTGAGGGGACCGAGCAGGGACAGGCCAGCTCGGCGGTCCAGGTGCCCCACGAGGTGCAGCTCTGCCCGGCCAGCCTGGCGTCTCTGGCTGCGTGCTGGCTCTGGCCCGGTGGCAGGATGAGCTTCCGGTGACTCGAGCCCGTGCCGTCCTCAGGTGGTGGAGTCGGGCATCCTGGACAAGCTGCCCGCCGAGGAGCACGAGAGGCAGGAGGTGAGGGGTGGGCTGGGGGCGTGGCCCTGCTTCTGACACGCCGGTGGGGGGCGCGGGGACCACAGCCCTGGCGACGTCGCCCACTGGCCCATTGGCTGCCTCCCGGTACCCAGCGATGGCTGATGCCCTGGCTGGGGTGGGGCTGGGGGGGCTACCGTTACCCACTTTCCGGGCGAGGGTGGGAGCCCTTGCCAGCGCCACAGCTCATCAGTGCCCGAGGCAGAGTGCAAGCCCAGGACTCGGGCTTATGTCCCCACGGCCGCGCTGACGGCCCCAGCCTGCGTCCTGTCCAGGGGGCCCGAGTCCCGACCTGCCCCCTGCCCCCCAATCGTATCCCCGCGGCCTGAGCACTGGTCACCCGCGCACCCGGGCCAGGCCCCGTGTGTGGCAGGGCAGCTCCAGGCAGGGCCTGGCGGGCGCAGCTGCCCCAACGTCCGCTCTGCTCTCGCCCCAGGCCATCTTCGAGATCCTCATATCCGAGTTCTCGTACCAGCACAGCCTCGGCATCCTGGTGGCCGAGTTCCTGCAGTCCCGGGAGCTGCGGGCGACCATGACCCAGACAGAGCACCATCACCTCTTCTCCAACATCACCGACGTGCTGAGCGCCAGCCAGAGGTCAGGCCCGGGCCCAGCCCGTCGGCCCAGCACCCGATGGCGCAGGCTCTCGAGGGTGGGGAGGCTGGGACTCACTCTGGGTGACCCCAGTCTGCGAGTGCAGATGGACGGCCCGGAGCAGCCCTGGGGGGCAGGGAGCGCGAGAACCTTACGGGGCCTGCGGCCACCAAGAGCTGGCCCTGGGGACGTGCGAGCACAGAGGGCCAGTGACGAGGCGTGAGGTGCCCGCGGCACGGAGCAGGCTGGAGGCGGCCTTGAGTTGCAGCCCCGGGTCGTGTTCTGGGCCGAGGTGTTTGGTGCCTGGCCCAGGGCTCTGGTTGCAGGCCCAGAAGGTGGAGGAGGGGCCGGGTGTGTAGCTGCAGGCCTGCCAGGGCCTCTGTGTGTGTGTGTGTTCATGTGCATGCATGTGTGGCAGCAAGTGTGTGTGTGTGCGTGTGTGTGTGTTTACTCCCATGGAGGGCGAGGTCCAGGTAGCACCTGTGTGAGTCCAGCCCCTCACTGCCCTGCACCCTAGGCGACCCCATAACGCCCTGTGGCGTCGCCCTGAGCCTCAGCGTCCCCTCCCTAACCTGAGGGGGTGAGTCCCATTCCTGCCCCCTTGCAGACTGGGGTGAGGCATATGGGAGACGATCAGGTGTCAGACCCCAATCACCTGCAAGGAGCAGAACCCCTGCCCCTGCCTTGCACCGGGCAGAGGCAGCCGGGGCTCCAGGCGGCTCCCGGCAATTCTGACCCAAGTCCCAGGGAATCCAGTCAAAGTGGCAAATTTTTTGTCCTACCGTCTGCTCCCCACGATGCTGGCTAGAGTCTGCGAGACTCCAGCAGGAAGTGGCCTTGGATCTGGCCATGGGTATGTGCCCAGTTATTTCAGGTTTAGGAGCTGATCTGTCCTGGGGTTTTCCCAGGGGGGCCCTAGCAGCTGACCCACCCAGCACCTGGTGTGGGTGCATCTGGGAGCCTTGCTCTGTGCGTGTGCGTGTGTGTGCATGTGTGCGCTTACACGTGCAGGGCCATGGACAGACCAGCAGCCCTTGGGCCTCACCGTCGCTCCCACAGGTTCTTCGAGGACCTGGAGAAGCGGCACAGGGCGCAGGTGTGCGTGGAGGACGTCAGTGACATCCTGGAGGAGCACGCCGAGCGGCACTTCCACCCCTACGTCTCCTACTGCTCCAACGAGGTCTACCAGCAGCGCGCCCTGCAGCAGCTGACGTGAGCCGGCCCCGGGGCGCGGGACGGGGCCGGCGGGGGTGGCCTCGGGAGGCTCCGGCCCCTTGCCGCGGGGCACGTTGCTGCTCGCAGCCCGGCTTCTGCAGCTTCCGCCCGATTTCTCCTGATGGACTGGCCTCGCCTCCCGCCGCGGCTGAGAACCCCTTTCTCTGTTGCAGAAGCAGCAGCGCTGCCTTCCGAGAGGCCCTGAGGGAGATCGAGCAACGGCCCGCGTGCGGGGGTCTGCCCATGATCTCCTTCCTGATCCTGCCCATGCAGAGGGTGACCCGGCTGCCCCTCCTGACGGACGTGAGTGCACAGGGAGGTGGCCCGGGGTCCATCTGCAGGCAGAGAGCATTGCTCCCTCCTGACCTTCTCCCCCCGCTCTGTCTGTTATGTATGGTCGTGAGGACAATCACAGGACGGCTTTAATGGCCGCAGTGGCCATGGCCGCTGTCAGCAGCACCGCCCGTGGAACTCCCTCTGCCGGGAGCTGCTCCAGCACTTGCTGGATTCTGTTCATCTGCTTGATGGTTACGGGGTTCGTTCGTGTCCTGAGTCTGATCCGGGGTCGCCCAGACCCCTGCCGAGCATCGGTCAGGGTTGTTGCTTCCCCCTACCCTCGGCCAGTTGTCCTGGGCGTGGGCCTGGGGTGACCGTCCCCGTTTTGTGGACAGAGGGGCTCCGAGGGGCTTCCTGGAGTGGCTTGTGCTCTGAGATGCCAGCTCATGGGGCAGCGGGCCTTGTGGGGTGAAAGGTACACGTACACACACATGCACACAAGAGCCCGCACATGGCAGGAGCCCAGCTGAGCTCTGAGAGGCAGCATGTGGCCCGTGCAGAGCGGGTCAGCATCCCAGGCAGACAGGGTATCAGACCCTCCGGGCCCTCGGGGAAGTGGAGAAATAGAGGCTTCAGGGGCCTCCCAGGCTGGAGCACCACAGCCAAGAACTGAAGGGGTGGGGCCTGGGTGCCCCCCGGGGTCTGGCGTTGGTAGGGGAGCCCCTGCCCCAGGCAGGCCCCTGAGCCGGGGTGCAGAAGGCTGCGTGTGGCTTCTCACGTCTGGTCTCTTCCTGCAGACACTCTGCCTCAAGACTCAGGGCCACCCCGAGAGATACAAGGCCGCCAGCCGTGCACTCAAGGCCATCAGCAAGGTGAGGGGTCCAGGGTAGGGGAGGCGGCGCCCAGCCCCAGCCCAGCCCCGAGCTCTGTCCCCACGCCCACCCGTCGGCAGAGACCCTGAAGGCGGGGCAGAGAGGGTCTCCAGACGGTCCCTCGCAAGCTCCTCATGGTGCCGGTGGGGAAACTGAGGCTCAGAGAGAGGGCCGCTCACACAGTCGCTGAGCCCGGGGCGGGGCAGGGACCAGGACAGCCGTGAGGGCCGCTGCCGCGGGGGGCCGGGCTAGGCTGGACGGGGCGGGCGTGGGGTCTGGCCCTCAGCACTTGCTCTCGCGTGCGCGCCCGGTAGCTGGTGAAGCAGTGCAACGAGGGGGCCCACCGGATGGAGCGCATGGAGCAGATGTACACGCTGCACACACAGCTGGACTTCAGCAAGGTCAAGGTAGGCGGGCCCCAGCGGCCCCTGACTGTCCCCAGGCCCGGCTCTGTGTGCGGTCGGGGGTCACCGCACCCCAGCGTGCAGGCTGGAGAGAGGCCTCTGGGGGTGACCCCCTGCCCCCCGCCGGTGAAGCCCAGGGCTGGGCCTCCGCCTCGACCTCTCCAGGCCTCTTCCCACCTGAGAGCGTGCCCCTTGGCCTCAGGTCTCAGCTCCACCGCCCCCTTGCCTGCGGTGGGTCTGCAGCGGCAGAGGGCAGACCCCGGGGCCGGTGATGGGGACCCAGTGGCAGGCCCAGTGGCAGGGCTCACCCTGGGCCCAGGCTCCTCGTCAGCTGTGCTGGGAGCGGGGGCTGGACGACCTCAGGGCCAGCTCAGGCTTCCCGCTGGGGCCAGGATGGGTCTGTTGGTCCTGGGGGCGGGGGTCTAGGCAGCCTACAGCTCCACCCAAGCAAGCAGAGCTCAGACCTCTGCCCACACGGCTCCCCACCATCCCACAGACTAGCCCATCCTTGTGCCTTCCAGGGGCTGCCCCAGCAGCAACTCTCTGGAATCGGGGCCTGGAGGCAGCCTCTGCCCCGCCCCACTGCCCTGGCTCTCCCCTCCCCCCACGGCCTGGCTGCAGCAGAGCCCTGTGGGCGTGCGGGGGGCAGGAGACTCGGAGGGTCCCCGGGGCAGCTCTGTGGGCCCGGCCCCAGCTTATCATCAATCAGGCTGAGCTGCTCACCCTTATCCCCTAGAGGCGGCCGGTAGGCCGGAGCCGATGGGAACCAGTGCCGTGGGCGGGGCCGGAGGGCCGAGCAGGGAGGGCACAGAGGCTCCGACAAGGGCCGCAGGCTCCTTGGGGTGAGTCAGGGTGGCTTCACAGAGGAGGCGTTTGGGTGATGACGGCCATGGACCCGCTGAGCCCACACCCTTGGCTGGGGTCTTGAGCCTCTCGGCCGGGCAGCAGATGTCACGTTTGGGGTGAAATACGCCCCCGACCAGAGCAAAGACCCAACCCTGGGCCTGGCTGACCCCTGAGCGGCCTCTCACCCCTCTACCCCCACGTCTCAAAACTGGAGGGCATGAGGGCAGGAGAGCAGCTGGCCCAGGTGGGGGTGCGGGGGCTCAGAGCCCCAGGAGGGGTGAGGTGTCCGGTGGGGCATGTCAGGGGGGCAGAGGCTGGTGGGCAGAGCCTCCTGGCTCCGTCCCCACCAAGCCTGCCCTGCCTGCCCCTCCCCTTCCGGCTTGACAGGCCAGAGCGCCAGCCTTGCTGGCGGAAGGCTGTCTGAGCACCGGCCATGGCGACATGGGACCCATGTGGCGGAGGCAGGGGTGTCTGCCTTAGCTGGGCCTGTTCTCTGGGCCACGGAATGGGGGGGAGCTCCGTTTGCAGCAAAGGCCCCTGGATGCCAGAGGTGGCCCCGCAGATTAGGGTTCCTCACAGCCTGCGTAGAAGCAGCCATCCGAGCCCCCTGCTTGGTGTGAGGCGGGCCAGGAGGCTTCCCCAGAGCAGCCTTCGTCCCCTGGTTTGAGGGCAGCCCTCGGTAGGTGCCCTGTGGGCCCCTGGGCCCGGCTGGAAGCAGGGCAGGCCTGTCCTAGGTTGCTGCGCAAGGTCTGGGCCCGGGCCAGGCACAGAGCAGCCGCCCCCTGAGCTCCTGTCCGCGGCCTGTCCGAGGCCTGGACAGTCACACTCCCTTCCTCGGTGCAGCCCAGGGAGGCCTGGTCACCCCGTTCCCAGAGGCAGGGCTCAGTCCCCATGGCTGCACATCCCTGCCACCCCCCCCGGGACTCACCCCTGTCCCCGCTCTGCCCCCAGTCCCTGCCGCTGATCTCTGCTTCCCGCTGGCTGCTGAAGCGTGGGGAGCTCTTTGTGGTGGAAGAAACCGGGCTTTTCCGAAAACTCTCCAGCCGGCCCACATGCTACCTGTTCCTGTTCAACGACGTCCTCGTGGTCACCAAGAAGAAGAGGTGGGCCCCGCCCGTGGTCGCCAGGCTGCGTGGCCTTGTGACGGGGAGCAGGCAGCAGCCGTGGCCTTGGAGCTGGGGAGGTGGGCTGGGGCCAGCTCTCGAGAGCATCCTTCCGGCTGACTGGCCCTCGGGCTGCCCACAGACCTCTGCAGCATCTGGCCGACCGCCTGTCTCCCTGCAGTGAGGACAGCTTCCTGGTCCAGGACTACGCCCAGCTGGACCACATCCAGGTCCAGAAGATGGAGCCCTCGGAGGCCTCTCTGCCGGGGGGCGGCAACCGCAGCTCCTTCGTACCGCACACCTTCCAGCTGACCCTGCTGCACAACAGTGAGGGCCGCCAGGAGAAGATCCTGCTATCCTCCGACTCAGCGTAAGATGGGAGGGCTCCGCGGGGGTGATCCTGAGAGCTCTGTGGGGACGGGATGCCTGATCCAGGGTTCTGGGCACTGCACTGTGCCAGGGACGGCCTAGTCCTCAAGCAGTTCACACTCCCGGGAGGGGGACACGCTAGCTGCAAAATACATGGCCGAACTGTCCTGTGTGTCCAAGGAGAAACAAGGCAGGGGAGGGAGCACTGGGTGGGGGCTCTGGGGAGGGGCCTGCGGCAGAGGCACGGCAGTGCAAAGACCATGAGGCAGGAGGCCCCTGCCAGGAGGACAGTGGGGCTGGAGCACAGGGTGGGGGCCATGCAGGGCAGTGAGGGCAGACGGTGGGGGGACCAGCGCACAGAAAGGTGCTGGCTGGGTCTCCACGCTTCCTCCAGCACGGCCCCCTTTCCAGGTGGGAAGCTGAGGCTGAGAGCTGCTAACAGCAAGCTGACGGGGCAGGGCGCTTGGGGTCCAGCGCCAGGAAGCAGGGCAGCCTGGGCCCTGTGGGTGCAGCCGCCACCCGACTCCATGTCCCTGGCCAGATGTGATTCGGGGTCAGCCTGCCTGGGGGAGGCCTGCCTGCCGCTCCTTCCCGAGCCTGTGACTTCCTGCGCCTCGGCCCCCAGCGCAATGGGTCAGGGAGACCAGAGGGGCCACCCACTTACACCTCCAGCTCCCGGCCAGCTTACCAAAGTGTGCCCGGGCAGCGTAATCCTTCATCCCACTGCCTTCCCACCTCGAAGGCTGTGGGGGGCTCAGGGACACCCCGACCCTCCCACCGTGCCACACTGGGTGGGGAGTGTGAAGCAAAGGTCGTCAGCTCGGGCCTCACTCATGTGCGCTCTGCCCCCAGGAGTGACCGCGCGCGGTGGATCACAGCACTCACGCGCTGGGAGAGGCAGCAGCCAGACCCCACTAACAAAGGAGGTAAGCGCCTGCCCCCCCCGAACGCAGCAGGGCTCACAACCCCTTCCCAGCCCTGGGGTGGGGGGTGGGCCTGAAGGGGAGAGGTGCTGTCCAGCCCTCTGTCCACCCCACAGCCTGCCCCCAGGGTGACCTGCCAGGTAAGGGGCCCCAGCCCCAGGTACGTGTGTGTCTATCTGCACACACAGGCCCAGCGCTGTCTCAGGGCCTCATCCTCCCTGTTGCTCAGTAGCTGGGGAAACTGAGGCCAAGGAGCTGGAGTGGGCTGGCCCGGAGAGCTGTCACCCGGCTCAGGCCCTGCCTGGCCCCTTAGAAGCTGGGTGCACCCTCTGCTGGTGCTGGGCATTTGGGCCCTGAAAGTGGGAGCAGCAGGTCCTGCAGCCTCTGGGGGGGGGGGGGGGTCCCAGCTTTAGCCGGAGGGAAGCTGCCACGTGACCGTGTGCTGGGACACCTGGGGGCCCCTGGGCCCCACCGAGACCAAGCCACAGGGGGTGTGTTGGGACTGGAGCCCACCCCCTCCCTGGAATAGTCCTGCTCCTGAGGCCTGCCCTCCCTGCCAGACCTGCTCCAGGTGGAGATCACCAAGGCCTACTTGGCCAAGCAGGCGGACGAGATCACACTGCAGCAGGCAGATGTGGTCCTGGTCCTGGAGCAAGAGGACGGTGAGCACAGGGGATGGGCCTGGGGGATGCACGTGGGGCAGGTGGGAGGGGCCGGGCAGGCCAGTGCTGAGTGAGAGCCTGGGGGCCCCAGCAAGGGTCCAGGGCACACTGGCATGGTCAGCTGCCCTGAGAGCCCCCACCCCGGAAGTAGGCATGTACTCACAGTGGGCCTGATTCCAGGGCCCCCTTCAGTACCCTCCCTCAAGGACGTCTCAAATGTCCCCGAGTTGCAGGACCAGAAGTGGGTTCTTGGTCACTCTGTATCCTAAGCGGGAGGGTGGCCCCTGCAAGTACCTGCACAGGACGGAGCGAGCTGGCTGGAGTGAGCTCAGCCCCTGAGCCCAGAGTTGGGGCCGAGCACCTGATGGAAGACCAGGTGCCATGTGACCTGGGGCAAGACGGGGAGGGGGGTCTGCTCCGCGGGATGCCTGGCCCTGGCGTCTTCTGGAGCAGCAGCTCCGAGGGGGAGCCGGCACGGGCCCCTGCCTGGTGCCCAGGAGCCTGCTCTCACCTGCCCCGGGTCTGGGTCCAGGATGGCTCTATGGCGAGAGGCTGCGGGATGGAGAGACGGGCTGGTTCCCTGAGGACTTAGCCCGGAGCATCACGAGCCGCGTGGCCGTGGAGGGCAACATGCGCAGGATGGAGCGGCTGCGGGTGGAGACGGACGTGTAGCCGGACCTGCCGGCACCTCGCCGGGCCAGGCTGCGGCCGTGCAGCGTTGGTCCACACTCCAGCAAGTGGAGTCCATCCCCAGCGAGCGCAGAGGGCTTGCCCCCAGGGCCTGAAAGCTCCCTGGCCTCCCGAGGCCCCATGGGCTGCAGCGCAGGCTCCGGACACTTCCAAGGAGGAAGGCCATACGCCCTCAGGAGGGGCATCCTCCCGGCAAGCTCAGGAGCCGTGCCAGCCCCGACCCCAGGCTGCATCCCTGGGAGGAGCCCAGCCAGGCCTGCTTGCTGGCCACGCCGTCCCCCAGCTCCTGGCTGCCCCGCCCTGCTCCCTGTGCACCCACAGGGCAGTTATGCCATGGGCGAGTGATCGAGGCGGATGGCCCTGAGAAGAGCATGGGTGACCTGGAGGGCTCGCCCTCCTGCACCCCTCCTGCCCCAGCCTTGAGTACCCAGGGCTGCCCCACGTTCCCAGAGGAGGACCAGCTGCCGGCAGGTGACCCTGCAGAGCCAGCAGTGGAATTGTGACTTTGAGACATTAAAGTACTTCTTTAACACCTGGATTTGCACATTTCTGAGCCCCAGTGAAGGCCATACCAGTCCCTGAGAAATTCCCAACATGCTGTGGGCCGGACTGGTCCCCCCCCGTGTGGTCACCTGTACTGGGCCCCAATTCATGGTCACCCTGTGTTAGTCCTTGGGCCTGCCTCATCTGTCCACCTGGAGCGTCATGGGCAAGTACATCCCCATGAAGCCCCTTGAGGCTGAGCCTGGCCGGTGGGGCTGGGGGACTCGGGGACATGGCAGAGGCTGTGGGAACCCCTCTGCGGTGTCCTCTCATCCCTCACCTCCCAGCTGGTCTGCTCCCCGAGGATCCCCTGGGACATGCAGGTGGGGAGAGGCAGGCTGGCCTGGCCTCTGAGCTGGGGAAGAAGGGTCTTGCTTCCCAGGAGAGGGTGATGGCCACCTGGGTGGCAGGGCGCTGCTGGGCCAGGTGCGAGGAGGACGGGTCTGCTCCCCCAGGAAGCCCCCTGCTAGCCCTCCCAATTCCCACACCCATGCCTGTTGCCCTTCTCGCTCAGGCAGTGCTGTCCTTGGGGTGGGGCTCCCAGCGTTCTCCTGACAATCTACTGGGGCCCTGTCTTCCTTTGAAAGCTGGGGTGTGGATCCCCACCCGCTGACCAGAATTGGGTGACTCGGGGAGCCCAGCCCTCTGTCCCTTCCATCCCTGGGGCTGGCTGCAGGAGGAAGTGGAGGAGTGCACCGGGCCAGGGGGAGGGGACTGGGTGGGGGTGGAGCTTATCCCAGCCCCGCCCACTGAACCAGGTGGTGGAGGGGTTCAGCACCAGAAGGGAGGGGCAGCTCCTCCCTTTAACGTCCAAGGTGACCTCCATGGCCTGGGGCAGCTGGAAGGAACATCCTGGGCGTGTGCTCTGCAGGGTGGGGGGATGGCGCGGGGGCCAGGCTCAGTGAAAGAGGCATGATCTGAGGGGTGGGGTCACCAGAGAGCAGGCCCAGCTCCTCCTACTTCCTGGACAGGTGGAAATCTGGGGCCTGCATTTTCCCACCTGTGAGCTAAGTCCTGCTCTTTTCCTGGAGCTGCTGTGGGGCAAGCTGGTGACCAGGGTGAGGGGCAGGTGTGTGTTTGGTGTGTGTGTGTGCACGTGTGTGCGTGCCCTGGGCAGGAGCAGGTGGGCAGCATCGGTGTGTAAGCCCAGCTGCCTGCAGCCGGCCTATTCCTTCTCACCACTGACCCCTGACTCTCGGGGAGGGCAGGCCAGCCCACCGCCCTTCGGTTGCCAGGTACGTTTTCAGTTAATTGGAAAAGCCCTGGGTCACGTCCTTGCTCTAGTGACCTGGGGTCGGCGACCTCAGCTCAGTTTCCTTCTGCAAAGTGGATGCAGGCCCTCTACCTCGGAGGCAGAGATTACGAATGCTTAGCCTGGAGGAAGGACATCCCGGGACCCTGGGGAGGGGCCATCACTGGAGACGGGGCTGCTGGTGGCTGGGTCCACCTGGGGAGGCCCAGACCAGGCGAGCTCGGGACAAAAACCCTCCCAGCAGAATCGGGAAGCACAGGGCCCCAGCTGCGGTGAGGCCTGGAGGGGCCTAGAAGGGTGGGTTGTGGGCAGTGAAAGGAAAGCCCAGGTTCCCCCCAGCACCTGTGCCTGCTGGGGCCCATCCGAGGGGCCTCTCTGCTCAGCTTGGGGTCCAGCCCTGCGGGCCCTGGTGTCATGATCCCATCATCATGACCCCCTCCCAGGGCAGGGCCAGCCGGGACCCTCCCCACCCCCAGCTGGAGGGTGCTCGGAGGACCTGCCTCCTTGCCGAGCTGCTCCTCTTAGGACCACAGACGTCCTTGGTGTTGGTGCCTAGTGACACTCCCCCTCCAGATAACAGAGGGTCCCATGGAGGAGCCTGTCACACCTGCTCCCCTGGGGAGGGGGCGACACCAGGAATGAACCTAGCCCGGCCCCTCCTGTTACAAAGTGGGGAGATAGAGGCCCAAGGGCCCTCTGCCTACTGGTGGGGTCAGCGGGTTTGCGGGGGGCCACTGAGGCTTCCTAGGACCCCAGCCGATTCCAGCAGAGCCTACGTCCAGACGGGGTCCAGTGGGAACGACACTGTGGTGTCCCAGCCCTTCCACAGGGGCCTCTCGCCTCGGGGCACCAGGGTGGATATGACTGTGGAACAGTGAGGAGTGGGGGCTTGCGCCCCTTCCCCAGAGCTGCCTGGGCACCTCAGTGCCCAGCCCCGAGGGGCAGTGGGCACCCTCCGCCCTCCCTGGAGAGGTGGGAGCACAAGGGGTGGCTCGCAGGAGCACAGGGGCCAGGGGTAGGCAGTCATACAGCTGGACGGCCCCCCAGCCCTCTGTAGGGGGAGCATCAGGGGCCGAGCTGAGCTCATCACCCCAGGGCCTGGAGGCCCCCCTCCCATGTGCTGCATGTCCTTGTAAATCAGTTTCCCCTCTATGGAGCGGGGGACATAATTTACATAAAGGGCGCATGTTCCCATGACCTCGTTCTCACCGCACTCAACAAGAGTTTTAGGATCTCTCTGCACATCTGGCTGCTCCCAACCACTAGGGACCATCCCTGACGGGTCCCTCCTGCTGGGAGACCCCCCCAACCCGGCCCCGGCTGCCCTCTATCGCCCCTGGTGGCCGGCACAGGCACTGCGGCCCAGCCCTCGGCCTACACTGCATCCCTGGGACCCAACGGTGCCTGGCGGACCCCAATCCCCAGGCCTCACGTAGAGCCCTTGGACCGCCGTTTCTGCCCCTTGGGAGCAGCGCTGTGCACCAGTGTTCGGACGTGCAGATCCCGCCTCTCCACCCACACGCCTGCGAGCCCTTGGGTTTCGGTGAACCCCACTCACCTCCTCCCGGCTCTCTGTTGTCAGCACTCCTGACATTGGGCCCCAAACCGCGCCCCCCCCCCCCGTTGTCACCCATCTACCCCATCACTGGAACCAAGTCCGTTTGAGGGCTGGCCGGGGCCGGCATCCTCACTTTCTGGCCCTTAAGATCTGAAACTGTGAAGGGCTTCACCCATCTTCTCGCGAGATAATTCCGGTATTTCCGGGGTTTGTTGCCACGCTGAACAGGATCTTATTCTGTATTCTGTTTTCTAGTGGGTCATTGGCAGTATTTTAGAACTACAGATTTTTATAGGTTTTATACACTTCCTATCATCGATATGACTTTATGGCCCACTTTGCCAAATTCTTATGATTGTGCTAATCTGTCTCTGGCCCTCTCAGCTTTCCTAAAGCGACAGGCTGGTCTGTCCCTTCCCCGCAGGTCTGAACACCTCTCACTTCTTTTGCTCACCTGATGGTATGGCCTGGGGTCCTCCAAGCTCTGCTGGGGTCAGGAGGAGTGAGTGACGATCTGATTCTCCATCTTTAAGGGAATTTGTTCATTCTTCCCACGAAGTTTACAGGGCCCAACCCAGGTCCTGTCCAGGTGGCCCAGCATGACGCAAGCCAAGCCCCTGCCCCCAGTTCTAATGTGGAAGGACGGCCAGAAATACAGGCTGTCACATCAGGGCTGAGGAGACCAGCAACGCGGGGGAGGGGAGGCAGGAGCCCAGGTGGGGGGGCGAGGAGGCCTGGGCCGCTTGCTGGAATCCATCACTTTCCCTAATCAACTAGTACATTCTTAGCACATGACCATTGCCAAGAAAGCGCCTTTCTGTACCCAGTTTCCCAAGCACTTACATCCGAAAGAGAGCTGAACTTTATCGAATGCTGTTTCTACTTCTAGCAAGACCATCGTGATTTTTCACGTCACCCAAACACATGGACACATTTTCTGATGTTAAACTGTCCTCTCATTTTAATCAGGTCCAAGTCCCATTGGGCCAAGTGGGTTTTTTCTAAATATTTTTGAGACGCCGGCATATTTTACTCAGGCTTTCTGCATACATGTTGTGAGTCTGTAATTTTCTTTTCTCGTACTGCCCTCACCTGGTTGTAGAACCCAGTTGGGACTGGCCTCCTGAAATGAGTCGCGTTTCCTCTATTTAATGTTTCTGGAACATCTCACATCAGACAAGTTCCTGTGTCTTGGAAGTCTGGCCCAGCCCCCTTTACCGACACCTGTCCCAGGTGTTCCTGGTGACAGAGGGGGAGGTGGAGCTGTGACTACTGTTTGCATTTACTTGTTACTAGTTTATTCACATTTTTAATTTCTACTTACACTGATCCTGGCATTTTATACTTTCCCAAAACATATCCATTTTTCTAAGTGTTCAAAGTTACTAGTACATAGCTGTTCCTAATACTCTCTTTTGTGTCTTATTCTCTCTGTCTGTAGTTAACCCTCCCGTCTTCTGTATTGTTTTTTCTTGCTTCATGTTTAAAAAAATCATCAATCTTGTTAGAATATTCTTCTTTATTACTCTTCAAAGACGGAATTTTAGGTCTGTTAAATGTTCCGTTAGTCTCCGTTCGCTGAGTGTGACGTTCATAGACTTAAACATAGATGTATACATATGTGAATAGAAATAAATGAATACAGGCACAGGTATACACAGCATGTGTAAAGATGATTAAAACGTTATCACTGCTGTGTCTTGCTTTTGTATTGGCTTTTATATTAAAGTCACCAGTTTAATCATTTCCGCCTGTTACACCCACCACAGCTTCACGAATCTGAGCCTCGACTGCTGGTGCATGGATGTGTGTATGTTTACGTACAGGCACATACGATGCTTTCCACCCTGAAATAACAAAACTCACGGCCCGGCTTTCCTTCTGTTTACTTTGTATGCTTATACTTCTGTCCTTCCAGGAATGTCTTCCGTAAACAAAATGCTGGTGAAGCATGTTTAACGCAGTCTAGGAATCTGATTTTCGATCATCTGTAACAACTTCAATCAGGCTTTAATCTGCTTCCTTATCCTGCTCGACTCTTCCTTCCTTCCTGCCTTCCCCTGGAGAGGTGAAATTCCCTCCCATCTGAACGTTAAACATCCTGCCAGCATTTTTGCGGAGGTCACAGTTTCTTATTCAGCTCCAACTGCACTAGAGTTTCGCTTCCTTTTATCAGTGTCTTT